TTCAAAATCAACTTACTTTTGTTATTTGTTTATTTCAATACAGATAAAAACTCTCTCATCTTTCATCTGCTTTAACCTTAAAATTTGAAAAATTTATCAAACGCTGAAACCTGAATTTTTTTTATATCAATCACTTTGAATCGGTAAGTATATTTACATATGTTTAACTTTTTTTTCGTTAAATGTGCATACGTTTTTACTCGATAAATTAAGATCGATATAGGTTAGACCAGATCTAACTATTTTAACNATATGTTTAAATTTATTTTCGTTAAATCAGCATACGCTTTAATCGTTAACTTTCGACATAGATAGTTAATGTAGATAATTTTTTTAACAGATAATAATTTTTTAAAACATGAACGAGAAAAAAAAATTCATCTGCATTTTAGGACGAAATGGATCTGGCGAGAAACAGTTGGCCGACTGTTTGGCTGGCCATTATGGTTGTTTCGCCTTTTTTAAAAGAAAAATATTGTTAAAAGTCGAATTTTCGATTATGTATTTTCTTATAAAAATTCTGTCCAACTGCTTCGCTTTTTTTTTTTTTCTTGTTAAAAGCCGAATCTTCAATTATGTATTTTTTTAAAAAAAAAATTCCGTTTCTACTTGCAGATATGGTTGTAATATCAGTTTGTTACTTTGGTGATTTCGAATTGAATGAAAAAGATCAATGGGTATGGAGATGGAAAAACGATAGACGTGGTGGTACTCCAATTTCCATAATGGAGAGTACAACATTTGTGAGAATGTACCATGATTTACAAAACAAGCTAAATGTGGATCCATCTCAGTACGATATGGAACTGAGATTTCGATTCAATGATAATTCATCTATTTCGATTCCACCAATGAAGGTTACTTGTGATGAAGAAGTGAATTATCTATTTGAATTGAACAAAATGTACACGACTTCTCTTTGAGTGACTTTAGTGAGGAAGAATGTCGTCGAAGGTGAACACGAAGNTTACTTGTGATGAAGAAGTGAATTATCTATTTGAATTAAACAAAATATACACGACTCCTATTTGGGTGACTTTAGTAAGGAATGATGTTGCCAAAGTTGAATACGAAGATTTGGATGGAGGGGATCACAATACCAGTGTTTTTTTTGGACACAGTGGAGATAGCTCGTCAGGATAATGTGGTTATTCCCGAGACAATTATTCCTCATCGTGATTATATTTAAAAATAAATATTTCTTAATTAAATGAAACAAAAAAATGGAAAATAAAAAAGAAAAAAGAATATTTAATTTTAGTA